GGGGGGGGAGCAGGCGCGGGCGCAGAGGAGCGACAGTTGCAGGAGAATTTCTTTCTTTTTTTTCATGGTCGTGAAAGCCAACGCCGCAGCGACGCAGTAACACGCGCAGGCACGCAAAAGAAAAAAAAGCAAAGGTAAAAAAAACACGCACTAGATACACATAACGCAGTGTCCACGCCATTCGCCGTATAAGTTCTAGTCCGCTTCAACGCGCGTAACGTTTGTTCGTCTGTTTTTCGTTTCATCCTCCCCCCCATGTATTATGTTCCTTCTTTCTGCGTGTGTGCGCGCTCGCCACCACCCCATCACAGCACACAAAGAAGTAAAACAGCAGCTGATTACGGTGTTCCACACACATGTGCACGCAGAAAGGGCATGAGACGATGAGGGAGGAGGAACGAAAAAAAAAAAATGATTGGCCCACGCAAAGAAGCAGAGGCTAACTTGAGTTCAGGCAGAAGACAAAAAGGAGCTGTACAATCTGTGGAGAGGCGTGGCTGCATAGAAAAAACAAAGGAAAAAACATAGAAAACTGAGGCGTATGCGGGCGTCAGTACTGCTGAAGGATCACGAGGCCCATAAGAAAGAGAGAAAAAAAAGCAATAAAAAGCCTCCCAATAGACTCACTGATACATCAGGAGGCAAAGCGAAAGGGAGAAGACGCACGACACACAGAGAGAGAAGTGGATGCAAGACATTTAGCTGCGCAGTAAGTCATTGTATGTGTTGCCGTGCAAATGTGCCCCCCATCACTTCACCACTTCGCCCTTGAAAAGTACATGTGTTTGCTCTAGGCACTCAAACTTATACATTTACTCTCCCCCTCTCCCGCACACATACACACTCATACACAACTGCAGGCCAACAAGGGGCTACAGACATTCCCCCCACCCCCATCGTGCCTAAACGCCAGGACTAGTACATAACAATTGCAATCGACCTTGTGGCAGAGTCGCATCGCAGAACCCACTTTGCCTACACATGTATCTCTCCTTTAAAGGAAAAAATACAAGTATTGTTCTCTGCTTGCGTGTCCTTCCTCCACTTCCATCGTTGCTTTCTACACCCGCTGCCGTTTTTGCATTGTTGTTGTTTCTGTCTTCCTGTCACTTTCTTCACTCCAGCAGACCAAGTTTTTGTTTTCCGTCAGTTTTTTTTTAAAAAAAAATTTATCGTTTTGATGGAACATCGTGAAGAGAACATTTCTGCCCCATCACACTTTGGTACGAGTTGGTGTTGCCCGAAACTCGTGGGGGTGACCCTAGCATGCTTCCTAGCGCCTGCGTCCGCTTTGTCTGCCTCTTCCTGTGCCGCGTGGGATTGTTGGTGCCGCCGACGGGTCCTTCCCCAGTGCCAGTGTTAACCGTCGTCGTCGTCGTCGTGGTCACCGTGTTGCTGTGGGTGTTGTGTGTCGTATTTGGCACTGTGTTCGTGTTGGCGTCCCGTATGACCGAAAGCGCATTGAGAGCCACACTACTGGTGGAGGTGAACGCCGTCGGCGCAGGAGAGCTACTACCGCTTGGTAGTGCAGGAAACATGGGGTACGCGAACTTAATAGACTTTTTCAGGGAACTTAATTTCCATCCACCCGATGAATCGCTCTTGGTGACGGTAAAATTTTGATTTTTCCTGTTTTTGAGGGAAAGTGTTAAGGTTCCCTGCGTTACACCGTTCGCCTTCGAGCCCTGCTGGCTAATGGGAGAGTGGGAGTGAACTGTGCCGTGCGTCGTGCCACCTGCCACCTTTAACGTCTGCAGCGGACTAGCAAGCGTGCTGTATTGAGTGCCTTTATGTTCTAACTTGGCCGCATCTTTGCCGCTGTTAAAGATGGGTGTGGCCATAGTATGGTGTGTTTGTATTTGACGCGTGCCAATCGTTGGCAACTCCCCGGTGCTGGGCCCCCCGCCACTTACCGTCGTTCCCAGGTAGTGGCTCCACAACGTCCCCAGCTGATGGTAGGGGATATTGTCGTGGCCCCCGGCTCCCACACTAACACCCACCGATGTCGCTTTGTTCACTACCGGCCACCCACCCTCCGCCTCATGTCCTTTAGGCTGCATAGCTATTAGCGGCAGGACGACGTCCCCGCTTTCCTCCACCTCGCTAGGAAGCAATGACGCCCTGGGTTGCACAACGGTGGAACAGGTGATCGCTGCTGCATCTACTGGGGTTTGGTACGGCGTCAAAAGCGCCCGCAGCTCCGCGTCGTACTCTACCCGAAAATTGTCCTCCGTAAAGTACGGCATATTCATCAGTGCCGCGCATGAGGGCCGCTCAGCCGGATCCGTGTGCAAGCACGCCGTCAAAAACTCTAACCACGATGCCTTGCTTTTGTAAAAGCGTCGTTGCAAAGACTCCTCGAGGGGGGTTTCCGGAAAGGCCACACGACGGTACATGGCGTTACGCCCAAAGATGTCTACCATTCGATCTGGCACGGGCCCACAGCTGCGCATAATGAGAGACAACTGATCTAAATCAGAGTCCCCGGGAAAGAGCGGCTGCCCGTCGGAAAGCTCAGAGAAAATGCAACCAATCGCCCAGATGTCTACCGCCTTGCCGTAGGAAACGTCCCCAACTAGCAACTCGGGTGCGCGGTACCAGCGCGTGGCAACGTAGTCCGTGTACTTCCCTTTGGAACTTAACTGCCGCGCAAACCCAAAATCGCACAACTTCAAAATTCCTCCTTTTGAAACTAAAATGTTCTCTGGTTTTACATCGCGGTGAATAATGTTGTGCGCATGACAATAATCCACCCCATTCAGCAGCTGGTAGGTGTAACGTCGCACCTCATCCGGGGACAGACCGTGGCGTCTATCCTCAATAAGCTGCAGAATGGTGTTCTCCACGTACTCAAACACAAGATACAACCTCCCGTCTCGGCGAAACACGTCCAGCAGTGAGATGATATTCGGATGACGGAGCTGCTTCAACACCCGCACCTCTCGCAGGGAAGTCTTGCGCACGTGATCGTCGTCCTCTGCCTGCTTGTACTTTTTGATAGCGACAATTCGACCGGTGGCGCGATGGCGTGCCTTGACAACAACGCCGTACGTCCCCTCCCCAAGAACACCTAACGTTTCGTACCCCTCCATGCACCTTACTGCTCACTCCCCTCCCCCCCCTCCCCCGCCCCCGACGCTGGTGATGGGCCGCTTTCCTTCCACCTCCGCACAGCGCAACCCTGTCTCCTACTGCTGCTTCTGCTTCTCTCTCTTTCGACCTCTTTCTTTCTTTCTATCCCTACCTCGTCTTTGAGACTGTGTGGTCGTTCTTTGGTATATTGTTGTTGTTGCCCTCCTCTTTTTCGTTGTCCTCCCGTTTTCCCTTTCACTCCCCGCCTCCACGTGTGCGTGCTGCCCCTCGCCCTCGCTCCTCGCGCAGTCGCTCCTGATGACAATTAGTTCCGTATCTTCCACCAGAGAAAAAAAAAAAAAAGTGGCGCCAAAAGTACACAGCAGATCCGCAGACGCACAAAGAAACGTCACCAAAAGAGGATAAAAAAAAAAATGAAGAAAGGAAGAGCTTCGTCACATACCCACGGGGTCGAGCGCCCCCGCGTCGCTCATCAACGTTAAGCGCAGAAGTGTTACGGCGCCGCGAAGCACATCCGCCGTCGTTGCAATCGGCTCAACGAAACTGAGGGGTGGTGGCCGACGCGCGTGCTCCTGTTGGCCTGCGTCTTCGCCGTCCGAGTCGTCGTCACTGCTTTCCGTATCGCTGCAGCAGAAGTAATGTGCCGCGGTGTTGGTGGCGCCCGCGTCGCACAGCGGTGGTACACAGCTGCGACGGTAGAAGGCGACGTCCTCGCGGATGCAAACATGAAGTGGTGGATCCCGTGCGATGATGGAGTTCACGCTACAAGGTGTCGCCCGATCAACCGCATCACTCTCAAGCCGCAGCCACGCGTGTCGCAGAGGCCGATGTTGAGCGATGAGGTGTGCCGCCAGCCGCCGCGGTACCTCCAGCACCGCCTCCGCCAGCATTCGCAGCACCGCATCCACCACGGGCATGTTTGTGGTTGCCCACCAATGGCACCCCGCCTCCTCAGCTTTGCCGCGGGCACCCCCTACATGCGGCAGCGGGCGCGTCAACGCCTCTGCACTGAGGCGCAGTTGACGCGCGAGCGCGATCGGCAAGGCACCGCCAGCCCGCACAAAACCCAAACCACATTCGGGGCTTGTACCACCACCCGACGGTGATGCATCCATGGCCCTTCGCACGCTCGCCAAGCACTTGAGTAACAAATTCGTGTACATGCAGCGCTGATACACCGTTGGGCCCACGAGCAGCATTGAGCCGATCCCCCAAACTCCCTGAGCACTGTTCATGCCCTTTTCCAACAGCGCGCTCTGATCCAACTCCAGCAGTGCCACTCGCACCTCACAGCTCTCACTCACCATAAACTCCCGCACAGTGGCGGAGGAGCAAACTGCACGTAACGGTCCGTACACCAGACGGCGCACAGGAAGAAGCGCATCCTCCGCCAGATCCGGCAGCACCAACCCACCACGGCGTAAAAGAGCTACGGTGGGACAACAAACTGGTGTCTCCGGAACACCACTTTTTACTGCATTTGTGCTGTGCCTCCAATACTGTAAACGACGTAGTAACGCGTCAAACACGACGTCATCCACCTCGTCCACCATAAAAATGGGGCGCCCATGTTTTAGTTGTTCACTCGTTTTGTCCGTGACGCCGTAACGGCGTCCATATGTCTTAATAACAGGCGGTGCCTGCGAAGGGGTGAGTATGGCTGTCACACCGTGTTTGTTGGCCCATGTGTAAAGCAGCCGAGCAGCTTCCAACTGCGCCTTCTCCTGCTCCGCTGTCGTCCACTGACGTTCCACAACCCTCCTCCCGTCATTGCTGCCTTCACTCGTGCAATAACCACTCTCACTGTCGGCGTTTTTCCTCTTATTGGAGTGTGCAAAGTCCAGCAACCCACCCTGATCGTCGATGCGCAGCAACATGATCCGCGCGGGTTGTCCAGTATTAGTATCACTATCATTATCGTCAGTCCGGTACTCCAAAGAGAAGAAGGGAGTGGCTGTGCCATGGTGCGGGGAAATCTCGGGAGACACAGTGGGCAGCAGAAAGGTGCCAAATGGCAGCACGCAGGAATAAAGCACAGAGTCCCCCTTGCAAGGCACAATGTATGACGTGGGGTGAAGTAGCACACCCTGTGCCCGAGCCACGATGGAAGCAGAGGTCACCTGCTCATTTGGGAAGGACGAACTCCAGAGAAAGCGTATAAGCAGTTGTCGAAGCGTTGTCAGCACATCATCCTCAACTTCTGTGCACATGGTGAAGTGAAAGCATCCCTCCACCACATGCCGTGGTATCACTTTTGAAGCGGCAGAAGCAGCAGCACCGTAAACATATGGTTGCAGACTTCGAAGCGATGCACGCACCACTCTTCCAATCATGTCGCTTCCCCCTCGCTGTTCCACGTCGCTGCTGTCCTCGTCTCCCGCGATGGGAACGTCTCGCATAGCACCCGGAGTTGTCAGCTCACGTAGTACTCGCACCAGTCGTAGCCTATTTATTTGTGAAGATGGAGAGTCAATGACTGGGTAATGTGCAGTAGGGGAGATAAGATGACGCAGTAACGCCGCACTTGTGATAAGTAGCCGACCCTGACCGTCTGGAAGCTGTGGCGTACGCTGATTGTCTGCACCTGTTAATGCCTTCGTTTCCTTAGTTGGTGTATCCGCAAGAAACGCGCGCCAAAGCACCCGCCATGCATCCATCCCTGCCGTCGCCTGCATCACCTCCTCCGCCCTCGGACGCAGAAGCCGCAGCTCACCCTCAACGCTCACAGAGACCGTGCACAAACCGTGAGGTCCGAGATGAAGTCGCTCCGCACCCTCCTGCAACGCCTGTGCGAGTGCCACCAGCGACCCCATTGGGGAGAACAACCGTATTTTCCGCCGTGGAGCCAGCGCCGCGGCAGAAGCTTCTGCGCCTTCCGCTCCTACGTGTGTCATTGCGTGCCCTTCACCCAACGCAGCCGCCACTCGTTCCAAAAAGACACTGTCACTGCCACTTATTCTATGTCTTCCAAGAAAAAAATGTCGACGAAGGCAACAAAAACCAATAATAATAAGGCGTGATAAGACGCCCTTTTTTTTGTTTTGTTTTCATCTTTGTTTCCCCCGCTCTCACCATCGCACACTGCACCGGCAGCCCACGCGTGCGTCCCCACTCATTATTTTTCCTCTAACCGCACATACACAGACGCAAACGCCATATATGCCAACCTCAGGGGTTTGCTTCAGCTCGTAAGCCGCCACATAATAAAGACAACCATAAAGGAGAAGCGTCTCAACATGTCCGTTTACCAAAAAAAAAAAACACGGTAACCACCGCAGAAACCACACATGTGTTTATATATATATATATATATATATATATATATAAATAAACAAAC